CAGGAGCGGCCACTGCACTCCAGTCTGGGCGACAGAGTGAGACTCCAACTCAAAAAAAACAAAAACAAAAAAAACCTGCTGGTTTGTGAAGAAGCCTGGTGCCAGCCCAGCAGATACTTACAGAGCACCGAGGGGCTGAGTGTACTTTGAAGAAGCAGCTGAAATTTACATAAGAGTCTCCAAACTCCTTCAGAAGTCAAATATCTGGGACTCTGTTGAAATCTTTAGATTCTTAGGAATGTTAATTAACCTTTTGAGTGTACACCACCTCTCCCATGTAATTTTAAAAGTTTAAACTTTACTTTCATCATTAGTCAGGTATAGTACATTACACACTTTTTGTTTTATGAGTAATACATCTTAAAGAACAGGAAGTGCGTATTATTTTAGAAGGAATTGTGACCTTAAGAAAATGAGATAAGTAAAAAAAACCCAACCTGTTGTTTCACATGTTATCTGAACACTAGTATGTATCAATGGTCACAGGAAAAGGAAGATCAGCTAAAACTCTGAGTAATGGTCTTGTTATACAAAGGTTCTGTTAATTAAGCTAGATAAGAATAAATGTTTGATTATAAATACTGGAAATAAAGTATATCTCTTTGAACAAGTTGCAGCAGGATGTGGGCTTGTTCCCTGTTACCCTGGTTACAGAATAAACCATTTTCTCCCAACCCTCCGCCTCTCATTTCTGATTGAAAGCAGCTGGTCCAGTTCTACTGGAACAGTTCTACTCCTTCCCTTTCAGACTTTAAGAACTGACCAGCATTAACATTAAAATAGGGATCATAAGACTGATGAAACAGAGTCTTTGGGCCAATAAGCTACTGAATTCCAACCTGACTCTGGTATAGCATCACATGATAGATAGCAGACCCCAAAATATATTCATATGATATATTTTGAAATGACCCCACCCCACAAAGCAATCTATTGTGGGGGAAATTTGCATCTGTAGGAATCTCCATTAATGCAGCCAGGCCTTCCCTTTCTTTCCCTTTCCTGGAACTAAAGAGAAATTAACTAAGAGTCCGACACTTTTAAGTCTGAAAGGAGACATTTACCATGTATTCTCTGCAAAGGTTGCTAACTATGAGACTTCATCTACATAACAAGAACCTTAGTTCCACAACCTACTTTGTCTTAACTCAAGCATTTCTTTCTACTGACTTCAAGTCTTTAGACAAAGCTTAACTCTTTTAGCCAACTGTCAATCAGAAAATCTTTGAATCTACCTATGACCTGTAAGCGCTCCTCCCATCCTTCAAGATGCCCTGCCTTTTGGGGCCAAACCATTGTATTCTTTCCATGTATTTATGTATGTCTTTGCCTATAACTCCTGTCTCCTTAAAATGTATAAAAACAAGCCAGACTCAGTGGCTCAGCCTGTAATCCCACGCCTTGGGAGGCTGAGGTGAGTGGATTGCCTGAGCCGGCGGGTTCGAGATCCCCCTGGGCAACTTGGTCAGACCTCATCTCTACAATAAATAAAAAATTAGGCCAGGCTCAGTGGCCCAGCCTGTAATCCCAGCGCTTTGGGAGGCCGAGGTGAGTGGATTGCCTGAGCCCGTGGGGTCGAGACCCGCCTGGGCAACTTGGCGAGACCTCATCTCTACAATAAATCAAAAAATTAGCTGGGCGTGGTAGCGTGTGCCTGT